CAAGGATTTCAGTTCAAGAAGATTACCAGTTTCTTTATTAAGGAAATATGAAAAGATTACTCTTCGTTTGAACAAAGCCAAATTGGATTTTAATTTTTTACATAATTGCAAGGCATTCAGAGTTTTTCCTAAATCAGAGAAATATAGTGTGAATACTAACACTAAAAAATAGGTTAAATAACTATAATAATAATTACACATGGTTAAACAATCCTCAATCAAATATCGCATCAATAAATTGAACATAAACCACTATGATAATTTCTCAATGTTTCCTACATGCCAAAGTATACCCTCATAACCCAATTCCCGGTTACATCGCCTAGTATACATCTCATGGTTTGAAGTATATCAAATCTAACCTCAATAGATACTCAATTTATAGCAGCATAACTTCAATTTACTACATCAGAATATGATCATTAATTTCTTATAAACTAATATATCAACGAAATACATCTCAACCTCAATCAACCAAGAATAAACCACAATATTTTGTTCATAACCATAATAATCTCATATAAAATACTCTAAACCTCAGCATAATCATTATCATACACATAAAATATATAGAACAATAACAATACCTGCAATGCACTCTTGTTGGTAACTTAGTATAGTATAATCACAACTGTATCTCTTATATTATAGGCACAACCTGGCAAATGAATATTCACAAACTTATAATGTATTCAATCTCTTGATAATCTAAACTTACTACATACAGATTACCTTTGTCATAGAACCAAAAATCTCGGAATATCAAACTTGTTACAACTTGTTAATAGTTGTTAAAAGTTGTAATATTTTCTGCTAGTGTGAAATGGGTATTAGTCAACTGTTGAACCTTCTAGTTCAATTCCTTTGACCTTTACATTTTCCTGACACACTGTAGTCATGAAATTCCTTCTGTCTGCCTGTCATACCTATTCTTTGTGCCAGCTGATGGTCACACAATGTAATATCACTGCCATCATCGAGTAATGCCCAGGTCATAACCACCCTTCCATTACCAGCAACACTTACTGGTAGTAGTCTGAAGCACACCTTGCCAGGTGCAATGGTCAAGAGATTTGTCATATTGGGTGCTCCAATTCTATGCAGAAGAGCACTCTCTTGCAAAATTTGATCTTCCAAAGCAGTTGTCACATAGCTTACCTCGCCTTACAATTTGCAGCCTCTCTCTAGGGTTAATTTAATTTTAAGTTGGTTGATCAAATTACAGACTCCTGTATTTTGGTATGCTTAATGATTACGAACTCATGGACATCATAATCAATGATGAATTCATCGAAAATCCAGCGACGGAAGATATATTAGAGCTGACTATGGCTGTGCTGGATGAGCCAAGTTGGGACATTCAAGGTAATATTGACTGTTTACTTTCTGCGGTTGCGGGGAAAATGCTATCTACACCTGAGCCTTCGGTTCATGTGTGTACTCGTTAACTAGACTCTCAAATAGGAAATATGATATGCTCATACTATTGTTTTGTAAAGACTCGCACAATCAACTTCAGTACGTCGTAGTTGCAAGTGTAATTGAAGCATACCGCAGCTGCTTATCAGGAAAATTCAATCATCACCACATTCGGATAAGATATTATTTTTTAATATGTGTAATCATTACCTAAAATATGGTTACACGATAAGTGGTTTATGGTTTTTTTTGTTTTTTTTTAACACTACATAACCCACAAATGCTGAGGCAGTGACAACTGAGGGTATGGGTCCACCCATTATTAGTTAATACGATTTGAAAGGTTTGGAAACTTGCCCCATAAAAAAAATGTACACTTCCTAGACCATGCAGTCTTCAAAATAAAAATTGTAACCTTTGGTAATCAACTACATTTTCCACATGCATAGACATTTTTGAAACTTTATTAAAAAAAACCTAAACCATAATTCACCACTATAAACACTTTTTGACAAAAATGAAAAATTTCAACTTTGTTACCCAATGAGAAGTGTTCTAATATAGACAATGGGTCGTGTCTCATATTATTTGTTATATTTTTATTATTCATTATTTTCACTTGACTCGCATAAATAATTTTGTTCGAAGAACATTTATATGCAGTTGTACTTCGCAGCACTTCACTTGCAATTTGCAATTTCTAGTATAAAAGCCACATATTTTTATACACATACAGAACACATATGTTGAACAGCGAGGTGACATTGAGAGACATTATTGAGCTGCCAAATGTCGAGGAACTTCCAAGCGAGGGTAAGGACTTGACTCATTATTAGTTCATGTGATTTGAAAGGTTGTCAATAACTAAGAGATAAATATTTTATTGTTTAAATTTCATTGTGAACAATATTTTCCTATTTATTTATATGTCACATATTTTTATACACATACAGAACATATGTTGAACAGCGAAGTTCCACTGAAGGAAATTCAAATTCAGCTTTCAAAGTAAGTTTCCCTTTATGAGTTATCAAAACAAGGAATTACAGCAATAAATTTGTTGAAAGAGGAATAAAAGTAATTATTTATTGAAAAAGTTTATATGTTAAAAAAAGTTAAAATTTTTGAAAATAATTGTTATTTGTTTAAAAGGAGTTATATTAAAAAAAAGTTAAAACATTTGAAAATAATTGTTATTTGTTTAAAAGGAGTTACATTGAAGTTTAGATTTTGGTTAAAAAGAGGTGTTGTTTGTTCAAAAAAGAATGTTAAAATTTATAAAAATAATTAAGTTGTTTGTTCAAAAAAATGTTAAAATTTATGAAAATAATTGAGTAGTTTGTTCCAACAAATGTTGAAATCAAACTTTCATCAAATGCATTGAGAAAAAAATTGTGCAATACTCGTTTATTTAAAAAAAATGTTAAATTTATGAAAATAGTTGTTTTGTTTGTTCAAAGAAATATATAAATGTAATTTTATCAAATGCATTAAGAAAAATTGTGTAATACGTGGGTTGTTTGTTGAAAAAAAAAATGTTTATACTTATGAAAATAGTTGTGTTGTTTGCTCAAAAAGAAATATATAAATGTAACTTTTTTAAATGCATCAAGACAAATTGTGCAATACTTGGGTGGTTTAATCTGTTATAAAAGAAAATGTATAAATGTAAATTTTATTAAATGTGCAATATTTGGGTAAAAAACTATAACGAATAAAAGCTGCGCCACCGCAGTGGTATTTGAACTACGTTGTCTACGTTTTGCAATCGTTTTTACGTGTCAACAAAAAATAAATAAAATACATCTTAAAAACAGGGGAAGACTTTGCTAAGCACGATACAGAAACTTGAAAGACTTTAAGGCGAGACAAACGAAGGACCTGATGACCTGCAGCAAAGGTTCAATTCGACCCAGCATCGTCCTTCTTTTCATTAAAAGCAACTTTTAAAATTAAAACGTAAATAACGAACTGAAATATAGAAATAGATAGGGACATATATTACTTGAATTACAATGGCAAATAAAACATTACTATCAGTTAAAATTGAGAAGAAATTAAGAAAAATAAGATAAGTTAAAATTGCTTAAAACTACACAATTAAGATAGGAAAAATACAATTCAATTCACATTAATATTAAAATTATTGGTTCTATTATTATTATTATTATTTAATTAAGTTACGTTATTGCACAATGATAATTGAATAAAAAATACATAATGTCGAAAAATGAATAGAATATTTTAACAATTGTTATCAGATTTACAAGAAGACATTGAAAATAATAAAAAACTGAAAGTAAAAATGGATTTTAGAACTACCAAAATCACAGTTAATCTTATGATTTCAACAATTAGTTAATTTATAATAATGCTGCATCATGTTAATTGTAATCATTCGTCATAGTAATATAAAGTAAAAAAATGAGTTTTAAGTGCTTTTTTAAAAATGTTCAAGGAGGAAGCACTGCAAAGCTGGTGTGGAAGAGCATTCCATAGGGTCGGCGCAGCCTTCATGAAACATCTTTCACCGTAAGATTTTGTTTTAACTCTAGGAACACACAAAGTTCCTGAATCTTGTGCTCGCAATAGCCTTGGAGCTCTTTTAATACTGGTGTAATATGTTCATATTTACCAGTTGTTTTGTAATAATTCGCATAGTCGTATTCTGAACTTTCTGTAATGTCTTAATAGTTGTATTTGGTAAACCATAAAGTAATGCATTACAGTAATCAATGCGAGAGATCACCAACGACTGTATTAGCAACTTCGTGGCATCAACTGTTAAGTGACGCCGAATGTGTGAAATGTTGCGTAAATGCATATAGCACTGCCTCGTGATTGTTTGAACATGTAATTTCATAGAGAGATGCTTGTCGAACAATACGCCAAGGTCTCTCACGCACGACGTTGGTTTAAAAACTGCGTTTCCATCAATACTCAAATCTGGATCTTGACTGTTCTTACTGTGTGGCGACGAAAATAAAATAAATTCTGTTTTGACTTCATTTAACTTTAATATATTTCCTGCCATCCACACCTTAACATTAACGATACATTTTTTTATAGAAGTTAGGGTAGATTGTATATTTGATCTATGCTTTGGTTTTCTGTATGTGTATAAAAATAAAAAAATATATTTCAAATTATAAACAAAGTTTGATAATTTAACGCTTAATTTATTCAAAACCCACAAATGAGAAGAAAAAAAAAATAATGTTTGTAACAAAAAAGAAATTTTAAAAAGCAAATAATTACAATAGTTGATGTATAAGCATTAACAAAACATTATTATGGGTGTGTGAAGATTAATAAGGAAAAAATTAAGCTAGGTGAAAATAAAATAATCAGTAAATACCTTACCTTCAATCGAGTTTTGTTCTGTAGAGTAAAAAAAAATCATAATTATTTATATTTTTATAGGTAATAATTACAAATATTTGGTGTATAAGCATAGTATTGGCGTGTGAAGATTAATAAGAAAACGGAAAAACTAAAGGGAAAAAAATCAGCAAAGACCTTAGTATTACTAGAATTTTCAGTTTGGTCTGTTGAGTAAAAAAAATAAAATAATATCAATACACCTATCATAAATTTTTATATGTAACAATTACAAATTTTTATGTATAAAGTTAATAAAAAATATTATGGGTGTGTAAAGATTAATAGGAAAAAAGTGTAAAGATAAAAGTAAATATTACCTTGAACAGCCCGATTTGGGTCGTCTTCGACTACCATTGCCAAATCTGTTAGATTTCCTATGAAATCATCTTTCATTAGCATGTCCATTAGATCAGATCCAAAATCGAGTCTGTAATCTGATCCATGTTAACTGCCCCTGTCTGTAGAATAGGAATTTGTTTAAACATAGACCACAGATACTCTATGCAGACAACAAGTTTGTGGTGCTTGTAATTGCTGCGAAGCAGCCAATTCATATTCTTGACAGCAACTTGACCTCTGAAAGGTCATTGTTTGTCAAAAAACCTGCGCCTAAGACAACTGAAAAGCGGAGTTTCCTTCTTTCGTTCTGCCAGGTAAAATCAATTACTTTAGGCGACGTTTGTAGACTAACCTACTCGTACCAACGTCCGCATGTCGCGACGCTGGAGTACTATTCAGCGTTTTTATTATATTTCTAGGTTTCCTATTTCTACGTTTAATCGGCTCATGTCTCAGCCACAATATTTTGAGGCCAATATTATTTACGAACCCAGTTAAAATTATTTACTAGCCTATTTCAACGTGCTAATTATTACATTTAGGCGACGCTTGTTGTAGACTGGCATAGTTTTTCGGAAATAAATACCATTCTATACACATGCGGAGATCGATTCGCCAGCAGCGAGTCATCGGCCAGCACCAGCGAGTAGCCAGCAGCGAGATGTCACTGCAGCAAAACACTATTGTACACGGTACCAACGCTGTTCAAATAATTGACAATGGGTCGTGTCTCATATTATTTGTTATATTTTTATTATTCATTATTTTCACTTGACTCGCATAAATAATTTTGTTCGAAGAACATTTTATGCAGTTTTACTTCGCAGCACTTCACTTGCAATTTGCAATTTCTAGTTCTAGATTAGACAGTGAACTTGGCTATCTTCCAACTATGCATTCAAGGTTTGCCATTCTCACTTAGCAACAGACTTTCTTAGTTCAGTTCATGAATACAATGCAACAGGTTCTGGAGAAGAAACTGATGTAAGTTTATATTGAATTATGTTCTAGGATTATAGTTAATAAATAAGATTAAATTAGTACTCTCATTTAGTACATAATCATCATTATTAGCAGTTAATAAATGCTGTTGACCAGTATGATATAATCAGGGACCTGATACTGTATAATAATTGCAGTATATTATGTCACTGTAATGATTATTTATAATAATCCCCCCTTAGATATGAATTACCTTTAATTTATATGTTTATATTTTCTATTTTATTATATGTTGTATAGCATGTATTGGTATTCTATTTAAATTGATATAATCATTGTCATGTGAACATGTTTGGATTATATTGTCCGTACGATTGTTGATACGGCAGGGTGTTCTAAATTGTCACATTACTCAGGTCAAACTGGTATTGTGAAATCGCTAGTGTATACTTGGTACTTACCGTTTACGGTATTGATTTCCCGCGTAGCAATTACACAATCGGTGATTACACTGTCAACCATACAGTTCGAGCTCTGGCCCGGGATTTATCAATCTCAGCTTAGCAAATGTCTTAAGTCAAAAAAGTTAAGAAGTAGCTAAGCAAAAATCTTAAGCTGATTTATCAAACCGTCTTAGCAAAATCTTGGCTGAGGCTATCGGCACTGCCGCAGTGCGAAAAAAAAAGCTGCTGTTTTCTATCGGCACTGCCGCAGTGCCAAAAAGCTTCTGTTTGCTATCGGCACTGCCGCAGCAGGGTTGCCAGATAGTGGACAGGCTTCACGGCCAAACAAACGCCATCTCACGGCCAAATTCGGCCAAACTTTTTTTCGATATCGGCCAAAATTCGGCTAGATTTTAATCCGATTAGAAGACAACAGTGGGTACATTCATTTGAAATACTACAAAAATTATAATCAGTGGTCATTTGTTTGAAATTGAAGAAATTCAAATGATATACACAGAACAATGTTAAAAATATATAGCCTTAAATGTTCTTTAGTTGCTGGCATGCAGGCCAATTCAGGTGTAAATCCAGAGATGTCGAAAGGGGGAGGGCCGGGGCCGAAAAATGGGAGGGGGGGGGGGCGAAAGTGGGTCCGATCAAGATAGCACCATCTTAAAGGAAATTTGTCTTTTCTAGACGCCCGAAAATAACCTGATGCGTTTGGCCGATTAATTTTTTTTTACCACCCCTCTCCCTTAAATCCACCACTATGCGTTTGGGCGATCAATTTTTCTTTCTTTCTTTCTTTATTTAAATTTTTTTTTTACCACCCTTAAATCCACTTCTGCTATTTAAAATCACAATATTAAGATTGATCTAAATTTGATTTAAATGTATCAAATATTAATGTACATTGTAGTCGATCTATAGCAAAATTTTTAAGGGCCTGTTATTGACAAATCCGTGGCTATCTTTAATTAGAATGAAATAAGTTACATAGTTAGGTAACACAAACTGACGTTAAAACAAACCTATGACAACTTTAATAAATACTTTTTATAACTTTCTAAATTCGCCCCTGAATGTCATTGTCGCAGTACTTAAAGTCAGACTCCGGAGGAAAAAAAAATTTTGATATGTTGTAGAACTGATTTTTCCAAGACAGAAAAAAGTTGTTTGACGGAAAACTGGGGAACGGTGAACGAGCTACAGATTTTTTAATATTTACAAACTGGGGGAAAAAGGGGCGTAACCACCCATTTTTACACCTTATTCCCCCAGTTTTTAAATATTCAAAAATCTGTATCTCATTCACCGTTGCTCAGTTTTTCGTCAAACAACTTTTGAGTTCTACAACATATCAAAATGTTTTTTCCTCCGGAGTCTGACTTTAAAGCAATAAATCAATGTTGCTATCAGAATTATCTTCTTCATTCTCATATGCAACCTAACTCCAGTAACTTCGAAGAAGTCTCTCTGCAAAACTTGCTTGAAATTAGAGGTGCCATCGGACCCGATTGCATCAAGCATTTGTATATGGCGCTCTACATAAAGAACACTGCGGCACCTAGGGCTATACAACTCATGTGGGCAATAATAAATTAATTAAAGTACAGTATTTAATTTATATTCAAAAGAAATTCAAAAGAAATAGAACCTCCACTTAGAACCTCCACTAATAAGATGGAACATATACAAAGACACAATATATGGTACAAACTTACAATGAATGTCTTCATAAAGCTTAAACGAGGATAAACTTCATAAACAATATATTTCATTCGAACAATTTAAATTATTAAATGTCATCTTTTAAATAAACTCTCTTACGTCAAATCGGCTGAACCGGGGAACATAGATTAAGTGTTTAGTGCAAGTACAAACAAAGGTAAAAGATTAGAATCAAATATAGAATTTAAGCTAACAAAAACAAAATATCCAAAACAAGTCTACGTTATATTAGGCCTATCTATATTGAAAAAATGTAAACTTTTCAAAAATTCGGCCAAATTCGGCTTTTCAAATGCTACGGCCAGACAAATTTTTATACGGCCAGATTTGAGGAATCTGGCCGTCAAAAAGGCCAAATGGCAACCCTGTGCCGCAGTGCCAAAAAGCTGTTGTTTTCTATCGGCACTGCCACAGTGCGAAAAAAAGCTGTTATTTTCTATCGGCATTATTGCCGCAGTGCGAAAAAAGCTCCGATTTTCTATCGGCACTGCCGCAGTGCCAAAACACTGCAGTTTTCTATCGGCACTGCCACTCGAAAAGCTGCTGTTTAATAATTATCAAAAGGATGTTTTTGTCTATAGATTATGGTATCAATAATTTGTTAGGTCTAGCCTAGCCTATAATATTGTTAACATTATATTATATATGTTTTACAATTAAATTATAATTATTTCTAATTAGTAAATATATACATAGCCTATATCTAGGCCCATACATAAAACAAAAAAATAAAACAACAAAAATTTAAAATATTAGTAATAGTTTTAATAAAAATAATAATAATAATAATGATAATATAATAATAATAACAGTGCTCGAAATGAATAAAAATTGTTTAATTAATGAGATGAATCAGTATATATTAAATCAACTTGCGTCTATGCAAAATCTTTTTTCTATAAACAAATAGTTGCATATAATATAAATCAAGATAGCCGTTAACACTGTTAAATTATATATATAAATCGCCAAAGAAAGGAAATACAGTGTTCGAAATATTATTATTATTATTATTATTATTATTATTATTATTATTATTATTATTATTATTATTATTATTATTATTATTATCATGTCTTTGCCATTAACATTATTGTTTCTCTGGAAGGCGTCTTGTACAGGGACATGTTCCTTTTTACCTAACCAGTCTCATTACGTTTTGAGTGAAATAAAATTATGAATTATGAATTATACCAATGTCATCTATCGATAAAAACATCGATTCGATTAATTAACAGCAGCTCTTCGCACTGTGGCAGTGCCGATAGAAAACAGCAACTTTTTGGCACTGTGGCAGTGCCGATAGAAAACGGCAGCTTTTTGGCACTGCGGCAGTGCCGATAGAAAACAGCAGCTTTTTTTGGCACTGCGGCAGTGCCAAATCGGCAGCCAGGTTTGTAGTTGTTCTTTAAAGTACTGTAATATTAATATTCAACTTTTGACAAACTTCTTACATTATAGGCCTATATAGTGTTATTTAACTTTAAAATATAACAGAAACCCAACTTTTGTCTTTTAGGTTCACCCTGGCCGGAATCCCCCTGGCCTAGGCTAGGCCTACACTTAATTAGTTAGGCTAGGCTCTGTCTCTTATACACATCTAGATGTGTATAAGAGACAGTATATATACTATACATATACATATATACACACACACACTTGGGTCTGCCGGGTGTTGCACGTGGTAATATGCAAATGCGCTGACCCGAAGGTCGTAGTGCCTCAGTGCGAGGGTCGTCACTACACTGGTATCTTGTTCTAATGCCAATAGGCGGTAATGTACTTTTGAGCTGTGTTCACGTAAAAACGACTATGATAATTGATTTAAGTTTAGTAGAATATGGTAACATATTAAATACATATGGAACAGTAACCATTAAGGTTTTCTGTAGTGAGTTCAATTAACTACGTGAACTTACATTTTATCGTTAATTTGTTATGTTAAATGTTTATATGCCATAGAATATTTACTATTTGAAAGTAAACTTTAGGAAGTATTTGAGAGTACAGCTAATTAATATTGGCCTACCTACTCAGTATAAGGCATTGGGTAATTAGACTAAACATCTAAAATTGAAGGTTGCCAAGGCCATTTGCTCTCATTCATAGGTATTGTTTATAGTGTTGCTTAGATCATCTTTGCTATGTTCCTTTATTAGTATTACAGTATATTGCTACTGTACTATAGTTATTATCGTTTTATTCTATTGTTGTTAATATTAGCATTATCTATCATTATTGATAGTATTATTTCTTTTATTATTCATATTATTATGATCATTTGTTTGTATTGCATTACAGTTTAAACCGTAGACGTAGCGCATCTTACGTACTAAAATCAATTTAGCCATAGTCCTACCAAATTGGCTGGTAAATTTTTAGTATTGGTGTAGAGGCTATTTAGTATTTTTTTAAGAGGACGCCCTCAGTTTTGTATAAAGTTCACTTGTGAGTCACTTGAGGTGAGGCATACAACGAAGCGAGGTTTCGAGGGGTACCGTCTCGGTATATTGATACGAAGTTTGGGTTGAACAACAGTTGGTAAGATACAGTATAAGACATGTTAACCATACTACAGTAAATAAATTGTAATTTTAGGCATTAATTAGTTTGAGGAATAGGTGCGCTCATTTTTGGCTGCAGAAAGGCTTAATTATAGCTCCTGATTTTTCATTAATTTTACTTATTTATACAAGCAACTTTGATGATACTGATATTATTGTGTTATTTACCTGTCTGGTGTGTCAAGTTTTGTAAAGTTTGTAACTTTTTACTCTGATTCTGTGATATAATGCTGTAGTATTCCAGGCCTATATGTGTTCTTTATGCCTTATATTAGCAAATAACAAATACACATGACACAAACACAACTTCAGTTCACCATGTTATTTTATTCCCCTCTCCGCAAGCGTTGTCAATCACAGAGGGCGGTAGACAGATTATTCTTTATTCTTTTAAAGTAATTTGATTAACTATTGTATGTATTACTATATGAGTCATGTTTTTCTTTATATTTTTATGGAACTTCAACATTTGCTTTCTTCATGAAATAAATGTAAAAATTAAACTTTACAAACTATAACACTTTAAAAATTCCTCATGAGTTGCTACAGTATCAAATATTATTTAGATATTCTTGTGATTAAGTGAGAGAGTTGACATGAGGTACATTAAATAAAGTTAAATTGAAATGAATAATGAGTTTTTTTTTTTTTTTAAGTTGTGGTTTTAAACAATCATAATGTTATGTCTCAGGCCCGTATCCAGGGGAGGGGGGGGGGGGTGCGTTGAGTGCGTAAATCGAAAAACGTCCACTAATTATAACCAAAAAAAATGTGACCTTGTTCCCAGAATCATAAAATGAATCACATAACAGTACAGTATTAAGATTGTATGAATGTACAAATGAGTTACAATAAGAATACTTCTGGAGCGCTGACTCCACACGTGCAATCTTCTGTACTGCCAG